ATTATTTAAAATATATATTTTAAATAATGTTATTTTAAATACGAGAAAAAAAATAAAAGAGTTATTTAGTATTTATTATTCTAAATAGCTTCTTTTGATTTATTTTTTATTTTATATTTTAAATATGTTTTTGGAATCTATTTTTTATTTTTTATTTTAAATAAGTTGTATCACTTTTTTATTGATCCCTACGATATTTCATTTTAAATAGATTTTTGAAATCTATTTTATATTTCTTATTTTAAATAAGTCGTATCAATTATTTTACCGACCCGTCGGTATTGTCGGTAAAAATAGCGGTGGGTGGATACTAAAGTGACGGTGGGTGGCGCGAGGTTCTTATCTGCGGCCGCGACGACTCGCGAATTAGCGGAATATACCTTCTTATACGTAAGTGACTAAGTGCTATATGTTTTGTGCTTTGATCTTCAACGGACGTTCCTGACTTCTCAGAGAAGCAACACGAAGGATCTGGTTCCTCGCATATTTGCTTTGTTGTGCGTAGTTTGTTTTATGATGTGATATTTTATCTTTTAATTTCGTTAATTATCTAAGTTCATTCATGTAGTAATGTGAATAATGTCAGAAAAGGAAGATACAGAAGAGGTTAGTCTGCAACATCCTCGAAAAGTACCGGTAATTTTAGATGGAAAGTTCTTTTCTATAAAAAAGATCATTAACGACAATAACGTAATAGCAAAATGTCAAACATGCAATCACTATATTAAAGGATATTCAAGGGCGACTAGATTCTACGACAAACTTCCTTGTTCATTTAAAGGTAACACTTAATTAATAATTATGATAATATAATTATGATAACCTCATTAACCACATATTCTGATATTGGTAATTTAGTAAACAATATTATTTATTTTTTATTTATTTTAGTCTAAAAATCATTCTTTTAAAGTGTAACGATACACCCCCAAAAGTGCATCGTTCCAGGCCGAACAACCGCCGGATGCCACCCGACGAACCGTCAGGCAAAGAAGGCGCGGTGCGCCCCATATGTTTTAAGCATTCCAAAGGTCGTCGGCTGGCGACTTAAGGCCAGCCGACAAAGGCATTACCGCAAAGCATGTAACGGTACCGGAAACCACCGAACGGAGCCGATCGCGGCCAAATACCCTGACGATAGGGTATATAAGGGGCTCCGAAGCCAGGGAGACGACCAGATCCTGACCGTCTCACA